TCACTAAGTACCGGCTGAGTCGCGCGCGCACTTAATCCCAGTACCGGCTAAATTTTCGCTATTCATTGTGTTGTGCTTATTCCTTTTGTTTTAAAGGAATGTAATTTTATTGATATTTATACTTTATTTTGCATTTATTTTATATAATAAAGGGCCATATAAACTAACATTCATAAAATAAATTCAAGGTAACAGTAATTCAATTTTTCGACAAGCGTTGGCAATCGAAAAGCCTATTAATAGGCTACCGGTCGACAAGCATTGGCAATGAAAAAGCTGATAAATAGGCTACCGGTCGATAAGCGTTGGAAATCAAAAAGCCGATTAATAGGCTAGCGGTAGATAAAGTGTTAAGAACGATTGAAATCACCTAAGTAAAAATTAGACGAATTCTGACTCCTCACTAAACCTTAATCTTCCAAAGTAAAATTTAGCTTCAGAATTAAAGTCTTTCACCCCTGTCTAAAGGCCTTAGTCTTCTAAAGTATTTAGCTACAGCAATAAGTTTCAGCGACTAACTCTTGGCCCTCCAAACTAAGGCCGGATTATTATTAAAATAAGATATATCAAATAACAATTATTTTGTATATGTGTTTAGAAAGAGCTCACCTGAAAGATGGTGACCTTCTTCAGCACCGACAAATTCACGTGCAGGGCCAGCTCGGTCTTCAGCTTGTCCGGAAGTAGTCCCAAGGCTGTGTTGATGTCACCGCCGCCCTGTATCCTTCCTCGAGACCAGCTGTAGTCGTACCACCTGAGCACACGTCTCTTCATCCCTCCTGGTACTTTATGATGTCTCATGTAGGTCTTGGCACCGTCTAGAAGTCTCTCGAATTCCAGACGATTCGCGTTTCGATTGGTGATCACGTTGCCCACCTGGCCAACGATGGTGGCGAATATGAAGACACCGATCAGGTAGCTGACTATCGTGAAGACGTACCTACGGATCAGTAAGCGAGAAAAAGAGCCAATCAGTTCAAGGAGGATGTGATCAGTGGCCTCGGTTCATGGACGAGCGGCCCCCGCCGGAGCCTTTCTCCTCTTTCTCTCTTTATATTTCCCTGCTTTCTTATGCCTTTCGTTCTTTCCTTCTTACTTGCCTCCGCCTCATCGTTCTCTCCATCTCCCTTTCTTTCCTTCGTTTCTGCTTCCTCGTGTGCAGCCTCTCCTTCCTCTCAGCTTACTCCAACGATTACACACCGCTTCGTTCTCTGTTCGTTCGTTCGTGATATACATTCGCTCTTGCTCGACTCAGAAAAATGTACGGTCCACGATTTTTCGTGACATCAGGAATACCCGATATACAGGAACCCTAACTACGAACGATGATTAACCGATATCCATTATGCGAGCTGTGGAGACACCGAGCATGCTAACCTTCCTTAAGGAGAACGTTCCGGCCATTTTTATGCCATCATGACAACATATTCTGCGGGAGATATAAAAATATATTGGACCCAGACACAGGACCATATTGTGCCGTGTAAGTCCCAGATATAGGAGCAAACGTTTGCCGTGAAAATTTCAAAATCATTGGGTTCTTGATCCATCGTTATGATTATTAAGGTTCGTATTTGACTGATATATGTATGTATAAAATTTACATTTAATTGAATTTATTACTAACAGTATATCATTATTTTCACTTTTGGACAATCAAGAAATTCAGAATTAAATACTGTCATAATGATGGTGTCTTTGTGACAATTTTTGTTAGAATAGAATCTACGTGCTTCTTAATCGGTCGAAAGAGTGCGCACTTTTACGTTATTTCTTTTGTTTTACATTTTGCGATCGAGCCTCTAGTTCTTTTGTATTCTTTTATACTAAATTGTGTTTAAAATATGCAAATAATTTCAATCCACTGCACTTCAAACTCTGTCAATTTTGTAATATAATATTTACAGCCCTATTTTTGGTAAGAAGTATACTGATACCGTCATACCATCTAGGATAAAAACAAAACAGATAGAGTATTTAAATCGCCAAAAATCATACTCTGAAGTTTCAGTAATCATAATACGTAAATAATCGGAAATTTCTACTGACTTACTATTTAACTATGTGGACATACATGTATAAACCTAAGATTTGGTAAAATAGAAGTTTATTTACATGTTCAACCGATTTGTTTGAATAGTCATATAAGGATATTCTATCTGCACGTGCCTTCTGCGAATGCAGCTTCGGTAAATAAATTGTGGATTTAGTGAGTGTTGTACAAGTACCAATTTCGAAAGCTACTCTTGGTATATAATCTGGAGGATTGAGGGTTTGTTCTCGTCGAATATGGTCTGCGTGTAACAGCTGATGGTGAAGAATTCTTCACACAAGTGGATAACTGATTGCTACTGCTGTTGAAATTCCTTCCGTACTTGTTTCTAGAATTTTTACAATTGCCCTCTGGAGGCGGATACGAGAGTTTAACACTGACAGAGGTTAAAATAGAGGCTAAAAATATCAAGCTATTCTTGCAGCATGACTAATTACCAGAAGCAGAAAACTCTATACAATAGAAAACTTAAACAAAAGATTCTTTAAATATGTAAATCAATGATCCGTGTTCATTAGAATTTTTCTTCCATGTAATGAACACCAGTGACCTTTACTGATACATTTAAAAGACTATAGATTGCTAATACGTTTCTAAAAAATTTTACGTTATCGTAAAAATAAGATTTATTTATACCATGAAAATATGTATGAGTTTAATGACGCAAATAATTTTGCAATAGAGAATCTATTGTAAACTTTTTGTTCTTGTCAAAAAATGTGGTGAACATTAGCACAGTAAAATATTAATGAAACAATGTAAAAACTTGAACGTTGATCGCCCCTGATTCTTGTGCACGTCGCGTTTCGAATATGATTTCTTTTTTATTTTGTGTCGTCAGAAGATACGAAGGTGGGTATATTAACGAAGGTACTCGATCGGAGTCTAGATATATCTGCTAGTCAGGAAGCATTAAAGACTGTTAATACCAAGATGTCACTCGAGCAGGTAATAAACATTTGCTAATAATTTTTTGCTAAATTACCAACGTACTCGAAACGTCTAAAGAATCCACTTAGGATTTCGCTAAAAAAAACTTCTAACTCTACTGATTTTTGTAAGGCAACTGTTCTTTAGATCTCACACAAAAATTGAAAGTGGCAACTACAATAAGTATACACCATTAACTTTGTAAAGATTATTCATAACAAAATGTTAAAATTTGAGAAAAATAAAATAGAGGCAATTTACAGAAAAATTTACTTTTTCCATGAATGTGAAAGTCTAAAGACAGTTTAATTTTTGATTGAAAAATTAGTTACTTTCCCTCTTTTACTATTAGACGGTTGCATAGGCAAACACCGATAAAAGGATTTTTAGCTGCACTTTTCTTTTTTAGTCAAAAATTTCATTTTAAAATAGAATTTGGAATAAATTCTTGTTTCAAAGGTTACCCCGAATCTTATAGAACTTAAACTGCAATCTACATGCATTTAGACTGTTTAGTCTTTCAGAAATAAGTGTATATTTTTTACAATAGTATTTTACACTTTTATACAATATTATTACGTTTTAGTGTAAAGTCACAGAAGTGAAGTGTTCAAAATTGATTGCGAATGTTTATATCGACTCCATATCGGGAAAAAATAACAAAGTGTGAATACAGTGTCACCGTAACGAATATCTATCGTACAATCGGTTGTTGAATCGGTTTCGTTTGTATGAGTTGTGAATTGTTCAAAGTGTCTTGATTTTACAGAAATTCAAAGAAGCGGCGAGTGCGTTCAAAGCACTTCTTACGCCGCCAACGGAAGAAGAATATACGCAGTGTTACGGACTATTCAAACAAGCAACGGTGGGCGACGTTAACATACGTATGTTATTGCATCAATAAATATTTAAAAAAACGAATATAATATACAGAATGGTGTATCAAACTTGCTTCTATAAAATTTGACATATACGTTGCAGGAGACAGTTTCATAATATGTATCTCTCTTACAGATAGATTTCGAAGTCAGCTTTGTTAAATAGTAAAATATAAATTTTTCATTTAGCCTGATTTCTGAATATTTAACAGAATTTGAAAATTGGAGATTTGGGAATTTAAAATTCTGAAAATTCGAAAATTGAGAAATTTGAAATATTGGAAATTTAAAATTCTGAAAATTCGAAAATTGAGAAATTTGAAACATTGGGAATTTAAAATTCTGAAAATTTGGTAATTTCACATTTGAAACATTGGGAACTTAAAATTCTGAAAATCCCAAATTTAAAGTATTGGGAATATTCTGAAAATTCTTGAGAAATTTGAAAAATTAAGAATTAAAAAGTTTGGAAATCTGGAAATTGAGAAATTTAGTAGAACAGAAATTTGACACTTCACGAATTTTAAAATAATGAAATGTCTTTCAAATAATTGTATCCTATTTCTTCCTATTTAATTTCTTGAAAGAGAATAATCGCAGAATCGTGTTAAGTCTCTACAGATTTTATACCGTTCATTTTTTTAACACAACTGAAATCCTACTATAATTGGAAAGAAATGTACTATGTATCGATGTCAACCCACGAGCTGACGCGCGAAGAGGCTGATACAGGATGAAGATCTACGGCTCCTATTGGTCAGAATAAAAAAATGGCCGCCTCACACGTATTTTCGACGGAACAATTGGCTCGAGAGATCACGCACATCAATTAGACCAAAAGCAATGTCGCAAACACCTCGAGAGTAAATGAGACAGTACGAATTATGTGGTTGTAAAGTCACAGAAGTGAAGTGTTCAAAATTGATTGCGAATGTTTATATCGACTCCATATCGGGAAAAAATAACAAAGTGTGAATACAGTGTCACCGTAACGAATATCTATCGTACAATCGGTTGTTGAATCGGTTTCGTTTGTATGAGTTGTGAATTGTTCAAAGTGTCTTGATTTTACAGAAATTCAAAGAAGCGGCGAGTGCGTTCAAAGCACTTCTTACGCCGCCAACGGAAGAAGAATATACGCAGTGTTACGGACTATTCAAACAAGCAACGGTGGGCGACGTTAACATACGTATGTTATTGCATCAATAAATATTTAAAAAAACGAATATAATATACAGAATGGTGTATCAAACTTGCTTCTATAAAATTTGACATATACGTTGCAGGAGACAGTTTCATAATATGTATCTCTCTTACAGATAGATTTCGAAGTCAGCTTTGTTAAATAGTAAAATATAAATTTTTCATTTAGCCTGATTTCTGAATATTTAACAGAATTTGAAAATTGGAGATTTGGGAATTTAAAATTCTGAAAATTCGAAAATTGAGAAATTTGAAACATTGGGAATTTAAAATTCTGAAAATTTGGTAATTTCACATTTGAAACATTGGGAACTTAAAATTCTGAAAATCCCAAATTTAAAGTATTGGGAATATTCTGAAAATTCTTGAGAAATTTGAAAAATTAAGAATTAAAAAGTTTGGAAATCTGGAAATTGAGAAATTTAGTAGAACAGAAATTTGACACTTCACGAATTTTAAAATAATGAAATGTCTTTCAAATAATTGTATCCTATTTCTTCCTATTTAATTTCTTGAAAGAGAATAATCGCAGAATCGTGTTAAGTCTCTACAGATTTTATACCGTTCATTTTTTTAACACAACTGAAATCCTACTATAATTGGAAAGAAATGTACTATGTATCGATGTCAACCCACGAGCTGACGCGCGAAGAGGCTGATACAGGATGAAGATCTACGGCTCCTATTGGTCAGAATAAAAAAATGGCCGCCTCACACGTATTTTCGACGGAACAATTGGCTCGAGAGATCACGCACATCAATTAGACCAAAAGCAATGTCGCAAACACCTCGAGAGTAAATGAGACAGTACGAATTATGTGGTGCAGTTGTTATTGTCATTATTATTCTTATTTGCCGAAATGTAACGCTGGAAGTGTTCACAGTGGATGTAGCTTCTTTTAATTTGAGTCGACCTCGCGCGTCAACTCGTGATTTGACACCTATCGAATAATTCACGTATGATATAAATATGTTTGATGATGTATGATTAAGAAATGCAATTGTTCCATATACAATTACAGCGGATCCAGGGATGAAAGATCGGCAGGAGAAAAAGAAGTGGGACGCCTGGAAGGGAAAGGAGGGTATGTCGAAGGACGCTGCGAAAGAAGAGTACATCAAGCGTGTTGATATATTAGTGAAAAAAGATGATGATGATTGATAATGCTCATTGACTTTCATACATGTTTTGTATGTCTATATGTATTTCACGATTTTTTAAATATAACTTTCTCAGATATGGGAGGCTGTTATAATAGTAGGTTAGGTTAGGTTTTCCTTGTACTTGAAATATTTAAAAGGCTTTTCAAAGCCTTAGATATTTTATATTACTTTTATATTTTTTATGTATGTTTAGAATAATTTCTTGAATGTTCTGTAAGGTAGTGAGGAGTTTTTTTATTCGTATTATCGCGTGGAAAAGAAATAGAAATTGAAAACTGTTTTAAATAATTCTTATTTGTTTCAATAAACGACGAAGATCGGTTGTGAGCTTGGTGGGAAGGAAATAAAATATGCTATTGCGCTGCCTTTTGCAATAAGCAACGATTACAATGCATAAACCGTCCGCCATTTTGATTAATTAGCCAGTTACGGCAGCTATTTGAATATATAGCATACATTTGAATATTCTTTCATATCCATTTGTTAGTTATACGCAGTAGTTCATTAAATTATTAATTAAAATTCATAAGTTAAATTTAAGTACAGAATTATGAGTACAGCTTGTTGTTTTCTAATATATATTATTACAATTATATTAATGTTATGAAGTTTAAAAATTATGAAAATTGAAAATTTGAGAAATTGAGAAATTTTGAGTTTCACGACTTGAGAATTTGAGAATGTGAACATTTGAGAAATCAATAAATTGTAGATTCGAGAAACTATAAATGTAAAAATTTAAAACTTCAGGGATTTGGAAATTTCAGTATATAAACGTTAGAAAATCTTAGAATTCTTAATTTCGAAAGATTGTAATATTTGAATTAATTATAGAAAACAAAATGAAGAAAGATTACTCATACCTAGTGTTTCTCGATAAAAAAAAGATAGAAAGTTAGTTTGGTTGTATAATGTTTAATTTAAATTTTACTTATAGTATAGTAATTTTATCCTACAAACATATCTTCAGAAATGACGAAGATACTTAACGTATATTCAGAAATAAAAACGAAATCCCTGCGTTATAGTTATTTCAAAAAATGTTTAAGGTTCCTATAGAAATTAGCAGGTTCCTAAACAGCACCAATATTTATAATATTTCAACACCTTTCAATGTATTAGAAATTATCACCGGATTAGAAATTAGTCGAATCGTTCCACGATAACTTGTTAGACATAAATAATCTTGGAACGATGTCACAGAAAATTTGTCCATGATGGCGTCGATACTTTGAAAAATCGGAACGTGTCTTCGACAAAGATCCTAACAAATCGAATCGTTTCACGCAAACGAGACTGAGGACAGCTTTATTCACGTTCATTGTGTTCAAACCTTTCATCCTGATGTTCTCCCTTCTGCTTCGTAGTGATGTACATTTTTCTGAGCGACTCCCCTTTTTTCTCATTTCATCCTTCTTTCATTTCGGTCACGCGTACATAACTACATGTATTTTCCCTGTACACGCTCTAATACACACATATACATGCATATAGGCACGCATACACATTATTGGCACATGTACTTACATACGAATAGATTCACATTTATTCGATATTACTGATTGTGAGTAATATAAAATTAAATATTGGAGGGTGTTGAAATGAACGAATAAAATGTTTCATTTCTGTCATATGTGTATAATTACTTATATGAACATTATACACATATTATTACTTGTATACACATGTACACACACGTACATTACACACATGTAAGACACTTACACACACACGTACATTACACACATGTAAGACACTTATACACACACGTACATTACACACATGTAAGACACACACACATGTACATTACACACATGTAAGACACTTACATACATGTGTACATCACAGACATAAGAGACACACATAAGAGACACAAATACATGGGAGATACACGCACATAAAACACACAAACATAAGATACACACATACACACCTACACATGTGAATGTTCACATACAATTAAATTCATATTTGTTCAATATGGTTTAGTGGCGTACCCAGAATTAAATATTGAAGCGTGTTAAATTAAACAAACAAAAATGTTTGTAATACAAATTGTTGGTTTATTTAAGGAATAAAATCTAGATGTTGATAAGCATTTATTTAAAGAATAAAATCTAGTTTTCTTTTTTTTGACCGAAACTCTTGGACTTTTTGAATGGCAGTAAATCCATAAGTAAAACAAAAAAATCTCACTGCCATTAATCAACGAAAATTTTTAGCCTCTCTGTCAGTCAAGAGCTAAATTTAAGAAAATGATGCTCTTTGAGAAAAACATAACAAGATTGCGAAATGATATAATGATATAATGTATTCAGGTACAAATTGAAAAATAATTGTTTAGGTATCTGTTTAGTGTTTTGAATTATTTATTTCTGTAAATTGATAAAATTATGTGTATATCTCGATAGTATTATACTACTAATTATAGTAGTATACTAATTATAGTAGTATAATTAGTGCATCATAATAGAATGATAGTATATTAATGGTGTACTAGAATAGAAGTATAATACAAGATATACATATGTATTCACTATACCGTTGTACTTAAAAATAATATATTCATTATTATTTAGTTGTGGACAATAAATTATTATTGTTTAGGTAGAAATTATTATTTATATTCAATATGTTTCTGTTTATGAACTGCTTACTTGCATTAATAAAGAAATTACGTAATTATTTGAAATTTTGTGTTCACTTAATTTCCTCTTATTAAATTATTTTTTAATCATTCTGGTTTCAAAGTCAGAACAGAATTGCAGTATGCGTTTTGTTTAACCAATTAGTGCTCTAATGGCGTGGATATTTCCTACGCTTTAGCATTGTAAAATGGCGTCATAAAAAATGCGGTCACGGAAAAACTGGGTTGATATATGACCATGCTCGTAAATTTCAGCTCCTGAAATAATTTCTTTCAAACACGAGAGGAATTCCGCAAATCATATTATTTTATGCATCGGTTGACTTAAGGACAGAAAATTACTATTATAAAATATTATCACATGATGAATTAAATAAAAGAAACCCACGTGTTATAAGAAAACGTTATAAGAAAACGTGTTATCACGTTTTTTAAGAAGTTCGCAAACGAACTAGTGGCAACATGAAAATAAATCATTTGCATAAGGTGAAGTGGGGTAAGTGCAGCCTGGTTTTTGTAAAGTTGATATTTAAACGCAAGTATTTTAAGTCTGCTATGTAAATACTTAACACTGTCGATATCGAACGCTTTGTACATTTCGTATTTAAACACGCACAAATGAACATAATAATTACGAATGCTCATTTATTCAACTTCAGAACTTGAAATAAAAAGGAAAAGAAAAATGTAGGCAAACTAAATTTAAAACATGTACGTAAAAAATGTGCACGTAATTAGCAATGAAATTAAATGTTCAAATTGTATTCCACCTCCTGCAACGCAAAGTTCTGAAGTTAAATAAATGAGCATTTGTACTGTTTACGTTCATCTGCTTTCGTTTGAAAATTAAATTTTGCTGTTATATATTCGAATTATTTGTAATATTGTAACAATCAATTTGTGTCAATTTTTTTCACTGTCACCTGAAAGTCACTGTGTAGCAGATCGTTGAATTTTTTTCAAGATCGCATACATACTATGATGCTCAAAATGCCCACGTCTATTTAAAAATACTTTGACCAAAATTTGTTAAGGTGAAGTGGGGTAAATGCAGACTGCTTTTTGCAAAGTTGGTATTTAAACGTAAGTATTTTCAGTCTGCTCTGTAAACACTTAACGCTGCCGATATCGAACGCTTTGCATAATTACTACTATTTAATTAATATCAACTAGGACCTTAATTTTCCTTGTACATTTTGATTTTGATAGGAAATTGTTTAAAATGTCAACTACTCTGCACTTTCCCCGAAAATGGGGTAAGAGCGTAACTTGAAGTTAAATACTTTGAAACTTTATTTCATGTGCAATGAGGCAAGAGCAGAATTATTAACAAATCTGCTATAAAATGCTTTTTACTGCATTATGCAAGTACTCTATACTGCAAACAAGTACTCTTAGCTGAAATATAAAAGGGGATATAGTGAAACAAAACAAGGAAACAAACATACTAAATGGAGAAATTTCGTTCATATTGTAATAAAAATAGTCTGTACACGCACTGCCCCGTTTACGAACTTACTCCACTTCACTTTAATTAAATATTTACAGGCGTTTAAAAACTTCTTTAGTTAGCTATTTGTTATGAAAATTTTTTACAAATTTGCATAAATAACTGTTGATCAGAAAAGTTTGTATTTTTAAATGAGAATTCTAAATTTATAAAATCGGTAGTGTTTACAGTATTTATTATATTTGTTGTTATGAAACTATTTTTGTGAATACTCTTTTTTATTATGAACTCCGAGTTTGATAAAACTTCGTATGTTTATTAAGCAGGCAAAAATGACACGTTCTTTTTTACCGGCTGAGACGCGATTTTAAGGGTTGAAACGACCCTTTAAAGCTTGTGCTATCTCGAAAACCATACGAAAGCCATACGACTATATTAAAACTTTTAATAGTTCAGTTGTATGGTTTTTAATGTATAACAACAGGATGTTAACAAATCAAGTAAAATGCAACTTATTTGTAACAATATTTTCACACCCTTATTTTACAATTTATTCAAATTTGCATAATGACAAAAAGTCGAGGAAATTTTATTCCAATTTGAAATTATTTATTTTATTATTTCACCGGGAACTACAAAATATTTACAACCATTAGATGTACGGATATATTGGATAATAAATTTACATTATCTAATATCGCAAGATACAAACAATTTATCTATTAGTGCTTATCAATGTTTTAAAATTTATTGAAACAAAACCTTAAATAGCTTGCAGCAATAAAAAGAGAACGTGCCCCACATCCAAATTAATCGGCTTATAAATTGCTTGGTGTTTGAAAATCCACAGTTAATCCGTCAGTGACCACACCATGCACTTAAAATAATGGCGTGGTATAGAATTTGGGCAGCGAAGATTAGTCCTTAATAGCGAGGTGTAAAACATTGAGGACCATCTGTAATTTCTCACTTCCAAAATTTGAAATATCTTTATTTGGAAAGATAAAAATTTCAAATATTTATTTTTCGAAATTATATAAATTTTTTCATTCATAAATATTTTAATTCACAGATTTATTTATAGATCTAAATCTTTAAAAATATAAATTTTTATACTTCTACATTAAAATATTTTTAATTTTATAGTTTGAAAATAGAAATGTTTACTAGGAAGTTGTATTTGATTATTCGAAAATTTATAAGTGGAAAAATTGGTTCCCTGAAAACATGGAATTTTTATATTTTTAAATTTTCAGAGTTACAATTTGTAAATTTTTAGTTGTATGTTAAGAAATTTAGAAAGCTTTAAATCTGAATGTTGGAAATTTTGAAATTTCTAAGTTTTATAATTGAAAACTGGAAAATTAGAAAATTAGAAAGTCAGAGAATCAGTGAACTAGTGAATTAGAAAATTAAAAAATTAAAAATTGGAAAATGGGAAA